AACCTCAAATTATCACCGCCGTTAAAAGTCTTGATCATATATCTATGATTTCCGTTCTTCACTACTTGTTGAATGGGACTTCCCTGCTTATCTAGCATTTGAACGCGATATATGGCTTGCGTTGATGCAGTTTGTTTCCTTGTTCTAAAACTCTTCCCTTTGATTCCTTTAGCAGCTGGCACCGTAGAAATTTTTACGTCGATAACCTTTCCTTTTGACCTATTAGTATGACAAAGAGACACAAAATGTATGTTGATAAAACGCGAGTACATCCAAGGGGATTCATAATAAGATTGAAATACATACTACATACCTCTTTTTCCCTTCGCTTTCGTCTTTGATAGTTACATGTTCACCAAGCGTAAACTCTTCGTTGTATTTATCGAAGATTTGATTGGCCAAGACATCAAGACGATCAGTACCTATAATAAAAACGATGGTTAGCATAATAATCCTTTATTCTTAGGACAACTTGAATCTTGCATCACAAATACTTTGCAAGAAGAACACTTACTAAATTGCACCATCTGTAAAATATGTTGTTTCAACCCTTCCGGAAATTTCTTGAGCTGCTCACGATGTTTCTTTTCATTCTCGAGAGCCTCTTCATACGTGAGACCTTGTTTACTAGTTACAGCACACTGCCATTCTGGCCTGTTATAAAAAGCTATACGATTCAGATAATCTCTATTTAAAAACAAGAAAATAAAGTTAAGGAATGATATGAACTAATATACAAGCACTTTACTGGCTGCATTGTAATATAAGCAACGAAACAAAAGAACACCAGAGTGCAAATATTCATTTTAACGTATTTATAGGAAAAAAAGATACTTGTAATTAACAAAAACTTCGTTACTGTAGGGGATCACCCATACTTGTTTATTGCCGTGTTTGGATGGGTCCAGCTTTGGCTCAGGTACCGGAGCAACAGGTTTGTTATCATAGAGAGGCATTGTCCATAAAATTGTTTAACAGAGGGTTATAGCTTTAAGTACCCAGTACGAGGAAAAAGGGTTAAAACTTTTTAAAATATAAAAAACAAAGTTCGAAAGTTAATAAAAAAAAACGACGAGAATATGAAATTACACGACATCCGAATAAATTCATTTACTTGAGTTTGAGAGTAACGGATTGTGAAGACAACAATTTACAAATTCGCCAGTGAACAGCTAATAAATTGTTGATAGAACGGAAAACACCCAACCAATGCGTAACAACAAAAGTTTCAAAAGTATTTGATGTTATTTTTAAAAAATTCTCGATCTTCGATCGGCGGTCTGGTAGCTGAACAGGAATTGAATTTAACTTTCACATTTTTCCCAGAAATTCGGTATTTACCGAAATTTCGTGTTTTCAATATATCACATGTTGATCAGTTGTTGATATAGTCAACATTTTTCAACTATTTTTTCTTTTTGTTTCAATAATATTTTGTGTAATAATGACAACTTCCGTAACTACAGAAACAAATAAATTTATCAAACAAGAACTTTCTAACGTACTTAAAGAGTATGATTATGGTGTTATACCAAATTCAATAAAAATATTACCTACAAAGAGTTTAAATCCTGATGCTCATCAATCTTCTTTATTTCAACTTACTCTACTAGAAAATATTAAATTAATTATTACAATTGCTGAAGAAGGTTATATTGTATGTATAATAATAAATTACAATTTTATAATTTATTAATTTAAAAATTTAAAAATTTTTTATTAAATAAATATTTCATGTTGAAATCACTAAATAGATTACAGAAGCAGATCCAGTCGATGTTATTGTTAATGAAGATTTGGAATGTGCAAAAAAATGGATTAATAAACCTTTTGAGACCATGGAAGCTTTATTATTAGCAGTATCTCCCAAATTTGGTGACAAATTTCATCAGGCTTTGTTTTCTAATTTATCAAATTTATCTCAACAATCTATAGGAAACATCACAAACAATTAATGAATTAAATTTTTTTTTTTTTGTAATTTATAATTCTCTATTGCATTTTACAAAACGATATTATATATATATATATATAAATTAAAACCGTAAGTTATATATTAAAAGAGAAATTGTTCCATGATCATCATTTTTTTCATAAAATTAATGAACGGATAAGAAATTTTTGTGATAAGAAAAAGTTGTAGCTTTTTTTTAAAAAATATATATATATATATAAACCACATGAAATTCGATGTACAGTTTTTTTTTCCTTTAAATAGCATGTTCCCTCTTTTTATATGTCCAAGCGCCATTTCCTGGTCATGTGCATTTTTTTTTTGCTGTCCTATTATTAATTATTAATTATTTGCCCACTAAAGACAACCCGGGTAAATTGAAGCAATGTCCCTTTTTGGGAACAACCCAATCGTCCATTTTTTTTTTTAAAAAAAAAAAAAATCTATGCTCGATTTTCATTACCATCTCGATGTTGTCTTACTGGATCTAAATAATAATAATAAAAATTAAAATCATAATATGATATCATTGGAAGAATATTTTCAAATATTAATTACCAAAATAAGGATGTTCCATCGCTTCTTGAGGTGTTAATCGCTCCTATTATGCAAACCAATATTAGGCACTTAATAATTTAAAAATTTTTTACGAAATAGAAATTTTATAACCTGATGATCATATCTTAACAACTTGTCAAGGAAGTCAATGGCTTCTTTAGTAACAAATTTTTGATTCTCATTCGTGACGAATTTATTCCATGCTTTCCGCGGATATCTTTTTTATAAAAAAAGAAAAAAAATTGGTTGAAAAGGGTACAAAATCAATTGCAAAAATCCATTAGGTTTTATTATTTTATTTTTTTTATTTACCTTCCCAAAATATCATCATATTGGGCATCCAACTCTATATCATATTTATCAAGGTATGCAAAAAGTTCATCCGTACCAAGAACTTTAGCAATTTTCACCAATTGATCATAATTATCATGACCATGAAAAAAGGGCTCTTTACGGAAAATCTGCAAAAGAAGTATATTTAGATTCAAATAAATAATGATGATAATGATAATATATTATTGCATTCCAAATAAGAAATAATAATGTTTACCATACTAGCAAACATACATCCCAAACTCCACATATCAAGAGAATAATCATATTCTTGAAAATCAACCAACAATTCGGGTCCTTTGAAATATCTAGAAGCAACACGCACATTATATTCAGTTCCTGGATGATAAAATTCTGCCAAACCCCAATCTATCAATCTTAGCTATAATAAAATCATAATTGAATATTAGTAATGTATTTTGATACCTGTTAACATTTCATACAAGATATTTACTTTGCGTTTTTCGTGATCAATCATGACATTATGTGGCTTTACGTCCCTGTGCATGATACCTTTTGAGTGACAATAGTCCAATGCCTATCACAAATTTGAAAGGAACAAAAATACAACAATGAATTAACGACGCCAACAAATAATCATTCCAAAGCATCAGAATATGTCGTGTAAAATAATTTACTGCTTGTACCTTAAGAAGCTCATAAATATAATAACGAACATCGTAGTCGGTGAACTTGGGGTATAATACTTTAAAGTCGGTATTATTTACATATTCAAAAATAAGTGATGGCGTTTTTGACTAATTGATAAGATGGAAAAGAAAGGTTAAAGATAAAGGAGTTAGAAAGTGCAAAAACATACGTTTTCATTCAGCCTTTAAATGTTATATAAAAAGCAACTTTCTCAATTTAAAAGATCCAATTTTTTTACAATACTTCCACTTAACTATAAAATCAAAACCCACCACGATAGTTTTCTTCTTTTAAAACACCTAACATGTATTATTTAGTTAATATCAAAAATTACCTGAGGATCTCTTACTACGTCCAAAAGCGAAATGATGTTTGGACCACCGGCTAAGTTTTGTAAGATCTTAATTTCCCTTTTGATTTTTTTCTTCTTTACTGGTTTGAGGACTTTAATTACACACTTTTCATTATTCATAATGTTAACTCCTTCAAACACCTCGGAATATTTCCCACGGCCGATTTTACGTACTATTTCGTAATTATCTTGTACACTAGATTTTGAACAAAAAAAGTTTTAAAAAGAAAATTTTATATTAACTTTTGAAAATGACAATAAAATCACTTTTTTAATTTAATAATAATTTAACTAAGAATTCTCCCAAATGAAAAGATTCTCTTTGACAAATTTGATAGGACATTACCCCCATTGAACTTGTAAATTATCTGTTGTAAAGATTAGGGGTTAATAAAGTAATAACGGCCCAATAAAAGAATATATATTTTTCATTGAATTACCATAATCCCAATAGTCTCGGGGCATAGTCTGATTAATATTCGCATACATGCGAGCCACACTAGTGAAAGACGTCATTTTGCTGGCCAGTGAGAATTTAGTTAAAATCACACAAGATGAATGACGCCGGGAGAAATTTTGACAAAATTTCAAAGCTTAACAAGTAATTCAAAAGGAAAAAAAAAAAAGCAAAAACTATTATGTTTATTTGCGAACTTCTATAATATCACGAAAATTTTTTCTCTAAATATCTGCTATAAATACTTTATAACAAGGATTCGTTATAAGTTTTGCTTTGCTCTACCATTCGTCCGTTACAACATGACGCAATATCAAAAATATAAACAACATGATATACCTGCGGACTTGTGTTCACAAACAGGCTGACACATCACAAACAATGTGATCCCAATTCTCATTCTCATTTTATTAATATCCTAGTAAAGTGATAATTTTTGATGTTTTAACAAAATTGGAAAGTAGTAATAATTATCATAAACCACCTATTTTTTTTTTTTTTTATTGGATTATTCAATCAAACCAGAAATTACTATAATTTTTAGATATATATTTTTTTTTTTATATACAAAATTTTTTTAATCCGATTTCTAAAATTACTAAAATGTATATTGATTGCTAAGGAGGATATATTTATCCTTATTATATTTATAATGTTTATATTATTTATAATGTATTTAATTATAACAGATATTATTAATCATCAGCGTCCATATTTTCATCGAATGATTTATTAATACGATCAATTGGATTCTGTTGTTCTTGCATATCCAAGCTCTTTTCGTTTTCAAGATCCTGTACTCTTCGCAAGACCCTTGTTAAAATAAATGGTGTCCATCGAAGATTTTCTGATTTTATTCTTGGATACCCTTTGGCTGTCACCTTATCAAGATGATTCTTAATTAAGTCTTTGTCAACAACGATCCTATATGTGCCATTTTCTTCATCCCTCACCAACATATTATTAATCTGAAGGGTGGCTATAATGTCGTTGACTGTCATACTTGTTGCACGACTTAGCTCTAAATTTACAAGTTGCAAAATTAATATGGTTCTAATATTTCGAAAAAGATTGATTGGTTTTATATGTATATATATATATATATACCTTCGATACTAAGAGCATCTGGTGAATTATTTAGCACTTCGAAAAGTACGTTGCGCCAATAATAACGATAACTGAGAAGACCAAGATCAGACAAAGGTTTCTCTGGTGATCCTGTTTTGTTTTCCCTTTTTGTTAAAAGGTAACCTATAAAAAATGAAAGCTTATATAAGAATTTCTGCGAAATTATATTCCAAAAAAAAATTTTAATACTTACTAAATTCAATTAGTAAATTTCCATATCCTTTTCGCTGATGAATGGGTAACGTTAAAATACATGACACGTTATAATTCAAAGGGGAACGTTTTTCCTACAATAGAATAGGTAATGATTTATTATTAAAAAATATTTTGATGTATTTAGCATTCTGTAATTTACAAACCTTAGAAAAGTACCCCACAAAATGACATCCCATATCGTTTATTTCGGTCATAACATAAAACAAGAACGGTTCTACATCATAATAAAGTGTCTTGTGATCCAAAAACATTTTAGCCAAGAGACATAAATTTTGACAATAGATCTAGGTAAATTATATATTGATCAATATTATGAAATCCTACACATGATTTGATCTATTAGAATCATATTCATATATTATAAATTTAATTCGTTACAGTATTTTTACGTCCGTCGACCTCAAAGATCGAGATTTGTCCATCTCGATAAATTTCGTCACCAGGGGGATGTTTCATCGGACATTTCATCTAAATATATTAATGAATTAAATGTGGTTCAACAAGATATAAATAATGATAAAATAACGAACCTTGTGTCGATCTGCAATATATTTGCTCTTCATATATTTCAAGCAATATTCACAAATATAAAGAGTTGGATACCAACTATATTCCTCGGGATAGGGAGCTACGTACCATGTATCCATTTCCCAGTCACCAAATCTGATCGACCTTATTTTTGGAGTAGCATCTGCGAATATTTGAGGCTGATCTTCTATGTCAAAGGTAATTTCTTGTCTTGGTTGCATAGCCTGAAGATAAAATAAAAAAAATGTGTGTATATATATAGGTACATATTGAAAATAACGTCTGCTATATAATAAATACATACAGCTTCAGCCTTGTTTTTAGCATTCTCGAATCTCACTTTATCATAATTATCTGGACGCGTCTTCGATGTATCCGCTTCTTCTGTTGTTAATCTACCACCAAATGGCAAATTAACAACAGCAGCTTGCTCCCGTTCTTGTTCACCACTCTCTACTGTTTGTCTATTGTCAGAGATATGATTTATCAATTGATCCAGTTTTTCATCTGTTTCATTCTTAATAGTCTCTGCATCAGAAAATTTGGATATATCCCTTTCAATATCATCATCGTCTAATCTAATCAATTTCCTTCGACCTCTACCCGTCTTTCCCTTATTTGTTGTTTTTGTTCGTTGTCTAGTGATACGAGTTTTTACAGCCGCGTCTTTATTGGTGACTGTACCATTTGCATTACCTCGTTTCTTTGATAATTTAGATTGGGAATTTAATGATCCTGATGATTCACTAATTGTTTGTGCTTTCATAATATTATTTGGAATAACAGGTTCTTCATCCAGATCTTCATCATCACTAGATATGGTTTCCTTGCTTTTGATTATCCTTTTTCTTTTTGGTTTGACTACTATTCTCGGTGGTCTTTTTTGCGAAGTAATTTCATTAATTTCTTTAGGTTCTTCTTTAATAGCTACTCTAGGTGTAGAGGTACTAGCTTCTTCAGGTGAAATTATAGGAACAGCGTTGCTGGTGGGTTTTTGATCTTCCTTCTCCGTGACTACTGATACCGTAAATACTGGAGCTTTAACTTTCCGCTTCTGAGTCGAATGACCTCTCGTTTTTTGGGGTTTTTGTATCTCTAATTGAGGTTGTGACGAAGGTGGTGGTGGTCTTTCTTGTGGTATTTCGTTTTGAAGTTGCGTCGTTGTTTGTAATGGAGTTTGTGGTAATTGAGTATCACTATTAATTTTTTTCCCTCTTTGAGGTAAAATTCGATTACGTTTTCGAATAGAAGAACCTTTTTCTTTCTTAATCGATAAAACTGGTTGCTCTATCACAGTTTGATCTAATGATATAGTTTCCGACTTATCTTCTAACGTCACCTCTTCTACAGGCGGTGGTTTGCTAACTTTTCGTTTTTTTGGTGTATTATTCTTTTTGCTTGGTGTTACCGCTGGGGATGAAGCTTGCTCATTTTGTGGTGATGGTGGTGAAGAAGAAATTCCATTGTTTATTGGTTTAATTTTTTCCTCGAAATCCACTGGAACAACAACATTTGACACCGGAGTTTCGTCTTGAGTAGCCACAATTTGTTCAGTTACTTTAGAACTTTTCTTCTTTAATTTGTTTGGTGTCTCGTCTTGATTATTTCGTCTTCCGTTACGTCTTTTTTGTAAAGTCGCCATTCAGTTTTGCTTCTGTGATCTGCACAACTCAAAAAAAAAATATTTAAAGTGCGCATTTAAGAAAAGTGTGTGAATTAGCGACAAAAATAATCGTTTTAACATTTTTTTTTTCTTTGATGAACGTTGTTACTAATGTTTAATGCGTACCAAACGTACTTTGTGTAAATATAATTACTTTTGTTATAATTTTAGTTTGAGTAAATATCATTATTAATCGTAAATGGTTTCAAAATATTCGTTCCCGCGGTATAAATTTCGCGGAGTACGTGGACTTGTATCGCTCTTTTTTTTTTGTTATAGATAAATTTTATTTTCACTATTTTTTTTTTTGGCTTTTTTTTGTTGCAAATAATGATGTATTATCTGACCAGTAGCAAATTTTCGACGATCATTTGAGCTTCGAAACTTTCACGTGATGGTTTGAAACAAAATTTTCTACAATAAAGTAAAATCTATTAGAACAAACTAAATCTAAATTTGTTACATTAATTAGGTAAACTTATCGTTATTGTAATAAAAAAAAAAATTAGATAATTAGATATAAAAACGACTATTTACATATAATTACTACCAAAATTTGTATTTCTTCCTTAATAAATAAATATTAATAAATCGTGTATTCGACCGATTAAAAACGTAAAACGTAAAGGAATTGTTACATATTACTCAATAAACTTGAAATGTTTGGTTTCACGACTAAGTGTTGCGTGATCTGTCCTAAATTAAAAACACTTTCTTGAGAAGGGTCGATCACTACAGCATTCTCCAAAAATGTCCGATTCAAACCTGCCGTGACCTAAATAAATTTTAAAAGACGTTATATTTAGTTAACAAATATACATTCATAATGTATGATTATAAAATTTACTTACATCAAATGTAAAATCCCCAAAAACCATTTGCATTTTACCAGATCTACGCACAATTAGTCGTCCTATCTGACCCTCTGGTTTATTATTACCATTGACAGCATCCTCAGAATTGTCTTGTTCCCTTTCTTTACTCTTACCCTTCTCCTTTACTGACGATTGCGTTACGGGTGGACCAGGTCCTGGTTTATCCGTAACTCTACCCTTTCCTTTGTCAAGGGGCGACCTATCATTCGGACCACTCATCCTTGGACGTTTAGATGGTTCAAACTCAGGTAAGACGGTAGGCAATTGAAAACATAATAGATGATTTTCCTAAAATAAAATATATAAATCTCTCGAAATTTAAAAACATCTAGAAAATAATTCCTTGCCACTTACTTCTTCAACAAATTGTATCATTTTCCTTTTAATTTCTTTCGATTTTTCATTGTCAATCACATCCTTGCCTAATGGATAAAAAGAAAAGAAAGTTCGTCGACTTCGGTTTCTATCTCTTTCTAAAATCAACGAAAATCACGAGTCGATTGACTCTATAATGCGAATTGCTAATAGAAATAAACTATATATTGTACATATGTTCATTAATATCCTTACCTTCTAATATACCAGCAGTGTCTTCTCTTTCATGCTCAACTAAAAGTATATCTGGTGCCCAAGGATCTTCTCGGAAAGATTCAAAATCTTCAGCATAATCTGTTCTACTTTTCCTTTCTTCAATAACAGAAGTGCTAAAAACGTTCGCAGTGTCCACTTGAGATTTTAGAAATATTGATTATCAATTTTTTCGTTATCCAATATATCAAGAATGATGTATTAATATTAATTATATCTTACATGGCTGGAAATTAGCATTTGAACCAAATGCGAACGGTCCAGATGCAACCATATCTGGAACAAATCTGCCGCGTCCACGGGTTCCTGATAAATAATAATAACATAAACGATCATGCTTAATTCTTAGAATTATCACATGTTGATGTACCTCTTCCTCGATCTGTTCCTCGTCCTCTTAAATCTGTACCAGATGTGAGCGGTTCATTATCCTAGAAGAATGATTAACTAATTTCAAATACGATCTATCATAAGGTCAAAAATAAAAATAAATAAATAAATTGCTCACCCCTATATCAAACATTTCAGGGGTAATTGCGTCGGCAGCTATCGTTCTTTAAAAAAATTGCATGTCATTAGTAAAAATTTAAATTTAAACATATTAATTAAATAGTACTTACGGTTGAGACCTTCTATGTGCTTCAGGTATTGTCGGAACAAATATTTTTTTTTGTGTTCCACGTAATGTAACTCTTGAAGATGTTGATAGAAAGTAATGTCCAGTTGGTGCCGTTCTCACCGAAGCTAATCTTCCAGGAGCTGGAAGATCATGTGATAAAGAACCAAGTCGTCTACCACTCGAAATTGAGGCCAAGGAGGGGGTAGGAGAAGGTGCTCTGCTCAAGTATGGAGACGTTGGAAGATTTATTTCTGCTTCCAAATTCAAATTAATATCCGACGAAGGTAGCCCTGCTTGTTCAAGAGTTCTATTTATTTCCATCGAAATTGAATCTTCTTCCTCTGATCTGCCCCTGCCTCTACCTCGACTTCTCCCTCGAGTTGTCCTAGGCCGAGCCGTACCTCTGACGCCTTTTGGTCGTCCCCGTCCCCTCTTGGGTGATGACTGGTTTTCAAATGCTTCATCTGCCATTATGCTAGAACTATAAAACACGAAACGATTTGAATTCACTTTTAATGTATCATACACGTATAGCAATTTGTCTTTGTGACTTCGTACCGATCTGCGCGTGCGATATGACGAACGCGTGTTGGATTAACACCCATAAACATGTGATGTGACAATCATAGGCAGACTTTCCTATGATTGGATAGAGGTTCAGGTTAAATAATAACGCTAACAAGATGTATAAATATAAAAATATTAAATATAAAAATCTTTGATCCTTCAAATAAAAAATACATACAGTCAATCCTCTCTAAATGCACACACCATATATTTTCTCTCTAAATGCACGCTCTCGTTCAATCCCAAGCATATAAAATTCATATAGAAATTTTTTCTTTAAATGCACACCATCTTTAAATACACATTTTTTAAAATTTTCACTATGGTCTCAAGGGGGTGCATTTAGAGAGGGTTGACTGATACTTTAATCGCGTGCCGAGTGAATGGAATATTATTGGATTTTTAAATGATGCGAGTTGACAACTACGAGATCGAAGATAGGACTTTACCTTAGATGTCTGGAGACGATTGCTAATTTCAAAGAAGGTGAAAGGTGCAAGAAAGCGAAGAACCTGCTCAAAAAGTATAGGTAAAGAAATTTTTATTATGTGTAAGAAATTGGTGGTGTGGCGAAGACCTTTCAAGCTCCTCGTCATTTAAGCCTTTTAAGCCTTACCACGAAGCTAGAATTGGAGCGTAGGTGACCTTTTAAGCTTGCCTGATGCTTAAGCCTTTTAAGCCGACCCAATTCTAGCCCCACTGGGAAACGGGTGACCTTTCAAGCTTGCCTGGAAGTCTTTTAAGCCGACCTGGTGGGATGGAAACAGGAATACGTTATTTAAGAATATCATTAATTGTCCAAGTTTTATGTTAGGGTGATAAAGATGACTGCAAACTCGCTAAGGACTGGAAGTTGGAACAATGCGTTCGATTAACATTCAGAACACATTTTCACGTTTTAATCAAACAATTGGGGGTCGTCAATGATGTTAGCAGAATATCTAAAATAAAATAGAACAAAACGAGGTACATACAAGCATTTTTTAACTAGAGTTAAGCTGAACTAATTATTTTGTGTTTTAATATTTTTAGGATAATTTTGAAGACCAATATGGTGCAAATGGTCTAAAGCCACCACTTTTTGTTATATAACTTTAAAATAATAGAAGTGACCAATTAATAGGCTTTTTTAAATAAACTCTCTGTTAAATAATAGATTAGATCATCGTCTTTTACATGACATAGTCTTTTTCTTGCTAAACGAATTGTAGCATTAGATATATAAAATTAAAGTTGGAATTTTTTATTAAATGTAATATGAATTTGGCCATTATAAAGTTGACTGAATTATAGAAATTATCTAATTTGGATCAAAGCATTTAAATAAAAAACGTCATTTTTTTGATTTTAATATGAAAATAAATAATTATTATGTTATTTTTTTTACTATATATTAACTTAAATTATTGATAATAAATAATATATTTTAATATTTTATAATATTTATTGCTTTAATTTAATATATATTATAATTAATTAGTATAAAAATTAAAAATAAATGTATTTATAAAATATTCATTATTTTTGTTACAGTAGCAGTCATAAGTAACTTTACCCCTTGTAATTCTTAAAGTTAATTAATAACACCATAAATTTTCCAAAATTCAAGTATAATATCAATATTGATCATATGTAAACTTATAAGTAGGGTTGGAATTAGTATAGCAATTAGTACAGATAGTACAGTTAGTACACACACAGGACAAAAATATTCAGATACTATGCAAATTACTAAATTAATTGGGTAAAGTTGGATATAAGTAAACTTTTTTTTTTATTAATAAATGTAACTTCAGTTTCATAAGTAAAGTTATTCATCATAATATATCATGTAATACATAAAAATTTCAAAGAATTTAAGTAAAATTGGTCGAACTATAATAATTTAAAATTTATTTTAAAATAATACATTTTCTAATAAAAACTTTAGTTATAGTATAACATTAAAA